ATTCAAGTATAAAGTTGATAAAACCGAAACAATGAATAATGAGTAATCAGTATGGTGATAAATAAAAGTGTTTATTTATATTCATAGGGTTTGATACCATATTTGATTCATTTATTCTTGTGTTTCACTTGCATGTTTTGACTTCCAGAATAACTAAGTCGCTCTTCCTGAATGATTAAGTTATTCAAACCATCCACAGTCGGTCATATGTTGGAAGTAGATATGAATCAAGACTATCATGGGTTGGTTTGTAGAGGTCCAAGTTGGTGGACAAAGTGGTGCTACAACACTAATGAGTGCTCATAAGTTCTGAGTATTGGATTCAACCCGCGCTCATTTGAATCACTTCATGGATTTTATCACGAGTTATCATGAGACGATAATATCTTATATTCTTCAAACCTAGAGATATGAGTTGTTACTATGAGTTGGTTATACATTGATTGCACGAAAACGCATTTGGTAACTCGATGTTATAAAACGTGCCTTTGTGTATGATTCAACAAGTAGTAGAACAAGCCATATGAGTCGAAGTTTATCCATTCCTTTTACCTTCGGGATAAAAGCGATATCTGTGGGCCCCTCGATGATTTAGCGATGACACATGTGAGTGCTTGGCCAAGCCAGGACTGATTTGATTTGTTCAATCAGTCAGTCATCATAAATCGAAAATCGGGAAACAACAAATGGACAGAGAGAATGATTATAATCCATGTCTCAGTCCATATGATATCTAGAATGGAGGAATATATGATCCCTTATCTAATGGACGCGCCATTGATTTGTTCAGAGTTCGACAACGGCTTTAAGAGCTACGATTGCTAGTCGGGTTATGAAGTCGTACTTGCAATAATAGTTTTAGACTTATCCAAGTGGGAGACTGTTGGATTAGATGTCTAAGCCCATAACTATTATTGGTATGTACTTGACCCGAGAGTAACATGGTCCATTTGGGTTGCATATCATCAGGACAATTGTTAGGATGGACTCTTGAGAGAAGGTTATTTATGGTTTATAATATATTATAAGTTATAATATATTAATATGAAATCATATGTTTTAATTAGTATCGATCAAGAATTAATTTGGAATTAATTTAGTGATCAAAAGAGACTAATTAAATCTATGGGGACTAATTATGATAATTAGTTATATTTATATGTGTTGGGCTTATGATCCATGTTGGACCAAGTTTATGTATGGATACATAAAGAGTTGGGCCACATGAACCATGGATCATAAAACCCATGGGTATGGATTATGGGTTATATCCATGACCCTTGGAATCCTACATATAAATAGGTTACTCCATAGCCAAAATCACCACTTCTTTTCTTAGAGAAATATGGAGGTGTTTTGGTGCATGGAATTCTCTCTCAAGAGCCACCTTTGTCCTAGGTGTGTTGTGATTCCATTTGAGGCATTTCATACTATTGGTGCTAAGCTCTTAAGGCCAAATACATCAAGACTTCAAGCCATATTAAAGGTATGTTTTCCTAACTAGTATATTATATGGTTTATGTCAAATGCATGCTAGTTATAGGTTTAATGCCTTGGAAACCATTTGCATGTATAATAGAGAAAACATAGATCCAAGGTATTTAGGGTTGTATGTGCACCATAGGATGTTGTAGTATACTAAAACCCAACAATAACTAGGCCCTAGGAGGCTAGATCCACCAATTGGAGCTTTGGAGTGTCTCAAAATCATCTGGATAAGAAATGGATTGTATGAACTCGACGAGTCAGACAAGCCGACTCGACGAGTTGGGAAGGGTTTTCCCGTTGTTTGGTTTCTGCATAGACTCGGCGAGTCAATAAGACGACTCGACGAGTCAGTAGGGGTTTTCCTCGACTTCTGGACACGCATGGACTCGACGAGTTGGTTGGAAACTCAGCGAGTCAGTTAGGGTTTCATGACTTCCTGAGTTCTTAAGGAACTCGACGAGTTTCTAGCTGCACTCGACGAGTCGAGTCAACATGGACCGTTGACTTTGACCAAGGGATTGACCAGTTGGACTTTGAGAGTATTTTGTAAATGGGATTCTGCATGGCCTTGGCCTATGGTGGTGATAGGTGGTTGAGTTCGTGGCTGCCGATTCGAGAGTCTTGCATTATTACTACAGTTCGACATATGTGAGGTGAGTTTCCTCACTATACTCAAGGGTCTAAGGCACCAAGGTCGGCCCTTTTGGAATGCTATCCTGATATGTTATGCTAGTATGAGCTGTTAGATTAGTATCCTGGTAGGATAGGATTGTTATTGTTGCTATGATCTGTTAGATCCGTATCTGAAGATAGGATGAGGTTATGCTAGTATGATCGGTTAGATCGGTTTGCTTGTCTATAGACTGTTATGTGATTATCTGATATATGTGCACATGTTTGATTGGTGGTTGACACTTATCTGATTTGTGCGAGAGCCAACAGACCTAGGCAATCCAACCCGATGGTTGTGGGCCGTGAGTATTCCATCCGGAGGATGATTGGACTCGTAGTATGAGAGCATTCCAACCCGATGGTTGTGGGCCTGGGGTATTCCATCCCGAGGGATGACTGGACCTATAGTATGTTGACATTCCAACCCGATGGTTGAGGGCCTGGGGTATTGCAACCCGATGGTTGATCGGACCCATACTATGTTGTTTGTGTTTACGTATATGCTGATGTGTGTATGGGTATTTTGGGGGAACTCACTAAGCTTCGGGCTTACAGTTGTTGATTTTGTTTCAGGTACTTCTGATGATCGCAGGAAGGCGAAGGCGAAGGCGTGATCGTACACCTCCTATTGTTTATGATTTGATTCTGGGATACTTTGACATTGAACTATTTTGAAAACAAGTTTTGTAATAATCATTAGTTTTGAAATGTTTTTAAAAGTTTAAATTTGGCATGATTTTTATGGATGTTACAGATGACATCCCATGGTTTTTATATATAAATGACAAATGTTTTTTCGGAAATATAACATGTTTTGGGACAAATTCCGCATTAAGTTTTATACTCTAAAATAAATAAGCATAAATAAAAAGTTTTAAATTGGCCGTGAAAATAGGGATGCCACAGGAACAGAGATGAGATCTCGGGCGGGATCTTTGTTGCTTGCCACCAAACAAACTTTTGCATCCTCTTTTGAAGCATCATCTCTGCATACGGGGTAAATACGTTAGTCAACCTCCTTAAAAAGTAAATATTATCAATTACAGTTATTGTACAAGAAAAATTATTCAATATTTTATGGTACTTTACCTCCCATGAAATTGTGTTCAACAAAAATCCGTTGAATGTAGTCATGAATTGCCTCAGTAACCGTTATTATCGGTACATTGTGTTGATTAACCGATAACACCAAAAGAAATTGTGGAATATCAATGTTGAGTATATTCCAACGGATGTTTGGAAAATATGTTCTTGCCCGTTTCGCATGGCCGATGTTGGCAAGCACCTCACATGTATCATGGGTTAGTCGATAGAAGTTTTGTTCAAAATCAGACATAGTATATGACTTGGATGTCATATAGAACAAAGATAGAACAAAGGTTCCAATCTTCTGTTTCCACCAACTCTTGTGCACATATATATGGACACATTTTTACAAGTATACTCATGATGAGAATCATGGAGTACCTAACATATGCAAGAGCTAATGACATTGTCCATATTGGTTATGAATGATACTTCCCTACTCTCTCTGAGAGTTTCCTTCAACCTCATCAGGAACCAGGTATAATAGTCGAAATTATTTGCCACGCCCAGAACAAATGCTATAGGTAGGGTGTGGTTGTTCCCGTCCATAACAACCGCTATGAACATTGTGTTTAGGTGGTTGCCTCTTAGACGTACACTACTTACCAAAGATGTCAGGCAACAAACAACGTATGAATGCATGTAGTTGTATATGGAACAAAAAATTTACCACACATCCAATAGCCACAAAACAAACTTGTAAACGATCCATCACATTAGTTTTGATGTTCATGTAAATGTGAGGGTTGGTCCGCCTAAGGTTGTTTATGTAAACATACAAGTTGGTAAAGCTTTCTTCTTGCTCACTCTCTAGAAACTCATCTTGAAGGAGTTATAGGAGATAATTACGGATGATCATAAGTAATCGTCTAACTACATGCGGTAACATTTATATATAGGGGACGAAAATGGATGTTTTATAATCTGGAATAACTGTCTGAAATGTGTGTCTGTGACTCCGTGTTGTTACTTTAAAATACTAACCTGACAATCGTACATAGATTCTTCTTTTGGACAGGGATACTCCGAAATGTAAGTCCGGAATGTACAGACAATCTTGTTTCGGACCAAAGCTCTAGAATAAATACACTGACTCCGTAATGCTCTATTCCGGAGAAAATGATAATTTTACAAAAGTAAATTTAAGTTGATTATTATTATTAAAATATTTATTTATAAGGGTTAGATTAGTGATTTCACTCGAATATGTGTATTTAAAATCATTTTGAAGAAAATTTAAATATTCAATAGTAGGAAAGAGTTGATAATTTTGGGTTAGACTTCTTATGGAAACGTAATGGGTGTTGAAAAGTCAATATGAAGAAGTCTTGGGCATATTCTGTCATACGTTTGCATATTTTATTTCGCACGACATATCTACAAAATTATTTATACAAACCATGCCTCTATTTTACTATTATGTCATTTACCTCCCCTATTTCTCAATATCATCTTTTAATAAATTGAAATGTGAACAAGTGATTTTCTAGACCCTCTTTTACATAGTGTTGCTTTTCCCATGGATGTTTTCCCTTAACATCAAGCAATCAATAGATTGTACAGATTATTTTTTTTGTTTAATGTTTAAAAATTGAAATTATGTTAAACATTGAGGGAGGCAAATGTAACTTCTTATTATTCCTTGTTTTCTATTGCTTCAAAAAGCCCATTTTTGTTTGTTTAATCGTGTGTTTTCGTCATACACTCCTGCATTACGTTAACGCTATCAAATTCAATCTTGCAAGCCATATACAATCTAATCATCGCTTTCTGGATTTCGTAATTCCATTTTGTTTATCTCCCTTTGACACCAATGATTCAATCATTGAAACATTATGTTTATATGATTCAGAAACCAAGATCGAGTTCTTGTCAATAACCCAAATGAAAATAGTGTGAAGATGAACTTTATCGGTAGTTTATTGGGAACTATCGGATTTGTATTTGGAATTCCCGTCGGTCTTTTTCTGGGATTTCTCATCTTTATTAGCACAGAATCTACAGATGTGAAGGTGACTGATTTGATTTGATTGATGAATGTTAATTCTTAAGCTGCGTTATGGTTTTATTTCGTTTCTATATAGTTTTCTAAAAACGTTTGCAGATTCCATTCATTAGGCCTCTTCAGGAGCTCGATAGAAGCTCATTGGTTGATATTCTACCCGAAATTCCATTATGGGTGAAGCACCCAGACTATGAACGAGTGAGTATTACATTTCAAACATTAATTCTTACTTGTCATCTTTATGTTTTCAAAAACACTGCAACATGGTTTCTTTATAATTCTACAGATTTGATTGGTTTAACGATGTAGTTCGTGATATGTGGCCTTATATTGATAAGGTGAACACTTTAAAGAATCTTTTGTTGGTTTTTTATTTATAAAAATTATAATTAACCCATCTCACATTAATTTCATTCTTGTATATAGGCAATATGTGGCATGATTAAAAGTTTATCAGAACCTATATTTTCTGAATACATTGGCATGTTTCATTTAAGATCCATAGATTTTGAAACTCTTACCCTTGGAACTCTTCCTCCTGTAGTTCAAGGTATGTTTATTAAAGAAAATGTTCTACCACTTTGCAATTTAATCGAAGCCTGTTTTTTTGTTAAAAAAACTTTGCAGGTATAAAAGTACACCAAATGAATGAAAACCATCTTGTCTTTGATCTTATGGCTAAATGGGCAGGAAATCCCAATATAATTTTGGTTCTCAAGTTATTATATTTTCCAATCAAAGTTCAGGTTAAAAAAAAGTTTCGTTTTTTATGTCATAATATACATAAGTTTAGTTCCAAGATTGATCATATGATTTATCTAATGACATTGGTTTTTTGTCAGTTGATAGATACGCAAATAACTGCAGCAATTCGGGTGACTTTGAAACCATTTGTTCCCACCTTCCCTTGCTTTTCAAATGCACAAGTTTCTCTAATGGAGAAGGTTTGTACTTTGTACACATTATTTACTTAGTTTTTATTTTTATATTTTTTAATTGTGGAACAATAATGAAGGTTATGTTTTGTATTTTTAGCCTGAAGTAGATTTTGGGTTGAAAGTAATGGGAGGTGATCTAATGGCAATCCCTGGAGTCCATAATTATGTTCAGGTTCTCTTTCTCTCCATTTTTTAACCTTTTTTTTTATCACTTTTTAAACTTCATTAAATCATAAAGTTGTTTGGCTAAATCATTGTGAATGTGGACAAATGATAGAGACTAATCGATGAACAAGTATCTAGTGTTTATCTATGGCCTCAAACTTTGGAGGTCCCAATTCTTGATGCTTCCATGTAAGCTCTTTACATGTTTGCAATAGTAGCACTCTTTGAATCTTGTTTTTTCTGAAGAAAATCAAGTTTGACATTTGGTAGTGATGATTTTGGATAGTGGTGCAGCCAAGAAACCCGTGGGTATCCTACATGTGAAAGTTATACGGGCCCGCAAACTCAAAAAGATGGATATAATTGGAACTTCTGATCCATATGTTCGTTTAAGTTTAAGTGGAGAGAGGATTTCTTACAAGAAAACTAGTGTAAAGCTCAAAAATCTAAACCCCGAGTGGAATGAAGACTTTAAACTTACTGTAAAAGATTCCGCGTGTCAAGTCCTTCAACTACGCATATACGATTGGGAAAAGGTGTGATTTTTTATAACAAAAAATAATTTTTTTTACTACTTTTCAAGATCAAGATCCATGGGGGTTTTGCTTAATTTGACATAAAATGTTATGGTTTTGGTTGTGTAGGTTGGGGTGCATGACAAGTTAGGAATGCAAGTTATCCCATTGAATCTTTTGACACCACATGAAAAGAAGGAGTTTACAATGGAGTTGGTGAAAAACATGAATCCAAATGATCCGCGCAATAAGAAGCCACGTGGAAGCATCACGGTGGAATTAAACTTTGTTCCTTTTGTTGAAGACACCATGGGGTTCAATGGACCTATTGACTTGTTTATGAAAAAAGAAACAATTCCTAAAACACTTGAGAGTTCGTATGTGAATAGAGCGGGGTTGCTTGTGGTGACAGTGATCGGGGCAAAAGATCTTGATGGAAAGCGCCATAATAATCCTTTTGCTTTAGTCATTTTCAAAGGAGAAAAACGTAAAACAAAGGTGAGTTGAGAGTTGTAGCTATCTTAAGTTTCTTGAGATTGCTTGTTGGGATTCTTGATTTGGTCTTTTGATGATAGGTATTGAAGAAAACTCGGAATCCAAGTTGGAATGAGGATTTTCAATTTATGTTAGATGAAGCTCCATTAGAGGAGGCTATCCATATTGAAGTGATAAGCAAACGCAAGAATAGAGCCTTTAGATTTGTGTCATCAAAGGTAAACCATCTTTCAAACACTAGATGCAATCAATAAGAAAGGTCATATGGTTCAAGTTTGAGCATCACCTTCCTTATTGATTTGTGGACCTTTTAATTTACCTCTTTTATGTTGGTTGTGAGACTGGTTTGTAGGATATGCCTAGGGTGGTATGTACTTATTTGCAGTGTGGAAGATCCAAAACCAAAACCAACATGGGTACATCTTATATACAAAAATATAACGAAAGAAAAAAAATACAAAAAATCTAAACTTATGAGGGTTTTTTTTTTGAACCTTTTAGTAAAAATGGTGTCAAAAATAATTAAGTATGACTAAATATACAATTTTCAAAAATAATTTTTTTTCCTAAAATATGAGGTGGGTCAACCTCTAAGTGGGGTCCATGCAGCCTACATCCATAGAGTTACATTTGTCACTTACTATCTCTTGTAGATAAGTGGTGTACTAATAAGGAGGTGAAAATCTATAAGAGATGTCAGGTTCAAGACTATGTATCACATTCCTTGCTCTGTAGACATTATGATGTATCTGGCGTAAACCTAAACCTGATGTATATCTATCTTTCAAGTAACATGATTTATAATATATATGCAGGAAGCATTGGGACACGTGGATATCAATCTTGTGGATGTAGTTTATAACAATCGTATCAATGAGAGGTACCATCTCATTAACTCACGAAATGGAGAGATACATGTCGATATACAATGGAATGCGACATAATGGTATAGTTGTAGTTAGCTTTACAAAGATTGTTTAATTCTTGAAAGATTTATCTATTGGGGATGGTTGTAGCATAGGGAATCATGTTGTAAAGAACATTGTTTTAAGTTGTAATTTACAAGGTACCAAATATATTCACGTACTTACTAAGATTGAAGGATAATGGCTTTCTTATAATGTTTCATTTAGAAATACTTTTTTGCCAAGATAGATATGTAAAGTTGAATATAAATCTTTTTGGATTTTTACATTATATCCCATTTTTGAAAAAAAAATTGAAGTTGTAAGTGCATAATAATTTGCTGAAAGATTTATATTTTTGGGATAATGACTTGAGAAGGTAATAAGCTATACCCTTTGTATATATTTGGTCACTTAACTTTTTTTTGTGCTCTATTAACTCTTAAACTTGTTTTTTGTTTAAAATATACCATTATGACCGGTAATAAAAGGTTTTTCTGGTTTCCGGCAGGCTATGAATTTTCCGGTCATCTTCTCCGGCCAAACATGATTTTTTTGGACGAATGAAGTTTTTGAAGGAAAATTTTTTTCTAGACTTCTTTGGCCTCTAAGATCTCAAACATAAACATATAAACATTTTGAGCATCATATTTCAAGCTTACTTTTACATTTTGAAGCTTCATTTTAGATTTCGAACATGAAACCCTTGATTATTTGAAACAATTTTATAACTCAAAAAAACCTTTGAACTTTACATCTGGAAAAATGGTGTTCTTGAGCAGATCTTAAAATGATTCTAGATTTCGAAAATTGGAAGATAATTTCATATGTGTTTTCAAGACTCAAGAACTGAAAAAAGAAAACTCAAACCATTCGATTTCAATGGTTTCGTTTCTGGGTTTCAAGAACAGAAGAAACGCTCGATCTTTGTATATGTTCAAGGGTTTTTGTTTATGAAACTCTGATTTCCGGGTTCGTTCCTAAAAAACACAAACAAGATGTCAAAATTTGCTTTGATTTCTGATGAAGACGATTGCAATGTATGTGTGTTCTTGAACATGAACCTAAAAACTGAACACAAATCAAGAATACGAACATTAAAATCGTTTTCAAAAACAAACGAGCAAGATGAAGATGAACACTGAAATCGTTTTAGATCTGGAAAAATGTTCCTAAAATCGTTTATGTAATCATTTGGACGGATGAAGACGAGTTCTGAAAAATAGTTTTCAGAACTACTCAAGAACACCATTTTCAGATTTGAAGTTCAAAGGTTTTTTTGTTCAAGAACACTATTTTTCAGATTCGATTTCTAGATCTGTGATTATGTATCTAAACCTTGATTTATGGGTTTTGTTACAGAGAATAGACAAAAGATAAGAAAGAAAAAGAAAGCGAGAAACAAGAAATCTAAAAAATATGTCAACTCATCTCGTAGGAAATTTATTTTGGCCGGAGAAGATAACCGGAAAAATCATACTTGGCCGGAAAAGACGACGAAAACCGGAAAAAACCTCTATTACCGGTCATAATGGTATATTTTAAACAAAAAAAACAAGTTTAATGGTTAATAGTGCACAATAAAAAGTTAAATGACCAAATATATAATAAAAAGTATAGTTATTTACCCTCTCTAAGTCATTATCCCTTTATTTATTTTTTTTGCTTAGAAACAAAAGGTTGATACACTAACTTAAAGAATAGAGTTGAGAAGTCTTAAATGTATATTCAAATATATATCAATGATATGTTAATGATAAGATTATCAGAGTTGTAAAAATCATTTTGCTAAAGATCATATTTTACAAAACATATTATAAAAAATGAAAGTGTAATTGTTGAGGTGCAATATTTATAGAAGATGTCAAACATTCAAAACCTGACATGTCTAAAATATTGTAAGCTTATGACCATGAAACGGGTCCAACATACGACGGTTATTTATTCATTTATTTATTTATTTTTAGGAATCATATTAAAAAAAATGAAAGAAAGACATATATTATGTATTTATGTTTTAAAAGATCATGATATAGAAAACATTTCAATGTGGTTAATTTTCTCTTTATATTTTGCTATAAACAACTAATAGAGAATATGGTTTTTTCTCTCTCTTTTTTTTTTTTTTTTTTTTTTTTTAGAATTTGGTCGACCCCTGAACCCAGTTCTAAACCCTAGCCCTCAGCAACCACGCACGTCTCTCTTCTCCTACACTGTAACATTGTCACTCTTCCATTCTGATCTTCCAAAACATCAAAATGATGTCTTTAATCGCTGCATCAAAACCCCATGTATTGAAACACAGCTTCTTCTCCAATCTTGCAAGAATCTCCAATTCACAGCATCTGGGTCTCTGCTTTTTCTGCTCATCATCTTCACCAGACACACCCACAAATGAAGAAACCCCCAAAACGGAAACCCCAGATTTCTCCGCCGAATCACATCCTGAGAAACCGGTCTCAACCCGTGAAGAAGCACAACCAGGGACGATCCAGAATCGCGAACCCGGAATCCCACGAGGTAAGCATCGAAACCCAGAAAAAATTGAAGATATAATTTGCAGAATGATGGCAAATAGGGCATGGACGACTCGTTTACAGAACTCGATTCGAACATTAGTCCCTGTGTTTGATCACAATCTCGTTTACAATGTATTGCATAGTGCTCGAAATCCCGACCATGCTTTACAGTTTTTCCGGTGGGTTGAGCGCTCGGGTTTGTTCAAACATGACCGAGAAACACATTACAAGATCATAGAAATTTTGGGTAAAGCTTCAAAAGCTTAATCATGCGAGGTTAATTTTGCTCGATATGCCTAAAAAGGGTCTCAAATGGGATGAAGATTTGTTCATTGTTTTGATCGATAGCTATGGAAAAGCCGGAATTGTTCAAGAAAGCGTGAAGATTTTCAGGAGCATGGAGGAATTAGGCGTACCAAGAACTATAAAATCATACGACACTTTATTCAAGGTGATAATGAGAAGAGGAAGATATATGATGGCGAAAAGGTACTTCAATAAAATGTTAGCAGAAAGCATAATCCCTTCAAGACACACTTATAATCTCATGATTTGGGGGTTTTTCCTTTCTTCAAGAGTTGAAACTGCAAACAGATTCTTTGAAGACATGAAAACCCGTGAAATTTCCCCAGATGTTGTCACTTACAACACAATGATCAACGGGTTTAATCGTGTCAAAAAGATCGAAGAATCCGAAAAATTCTTCATGGAAATGAAAGCAAGAAACATCGAACCAACTGTAATCAGCTACACCACCATGATCAAAGGGGTATGTTACAGCTAATAAAATAGATGATGCATTGAAGTTATATGAAGAAATGAAATCTTTTGGAATTAAACCGAATTCTTTCACATATTCCACTCTATTACCTGGTCTTTGTGAAGCAGAAAAAATGTCAGAAGCACATACAATCATGAAAGAAATGACACATCGACATCTTCTCCCACATGATAACTCCATTTTTGTACAATTAATCTCAGGTCAATGTAAATCAGGTAATCTTGATTTAGCTACAGATGCTCTTAAATCCATGATTCGTTTAAACATCACACCCGAAGCTCAACATTACGGGGTTCTAATTGTAAATCTTTTAAACTCCGGGGTGTATGATGAAGCTGTGAAGTTGTTAGATCAACTTATAGAACAAGAAATCGTGTTGAACACAAAGGGTACTTTAGAACTCGAGTCAAACTTATTCAACCCAATGATTGACTATCTTTGCAACAATAACATGACATCAAAAGCCGAAACTTTATTTCGCCAGTTGATGAAAATGGGTGTTTTAGATTCGGTTTCATTCAACAGTTTAATACAAGGTCACTCAAAAGAAGGAACACCCGATTCAGCTTTTGAACTTTTAAAGATCATGATGAGAAGAAACGTTTCATCTGATAAAACTTCTTACAAGATGTTGATTGAAAGCTACTTGAAGAAACAAGAACCTTCTGATGCGAAAACGGTTCTTGAATCCATGATTGAAAACGGGCATGACCCGGATTCTTTAATCTTCAAATCAGTAATGGAAAGTTTGTTTGAAGATGGAAGAGTACAAACTGCAAGTAGGGTAATGAAAATGATGATTGAAAAGGGTATGAAAGATCATAAAGATTTGGTTTCAAGAATCTTGGAAGCACTTTTGTTGAGAGGTCATGTGGAAGAAGCTTTGGGGAGAATTGAGTTGTTAATGAATGTTGGATTTGGGCCTGATTTTGATGGGTTGATTTCGGTTGTTTGTGAGAAAGGAAAGACAATTGCTGCTGTGAAATTGTTGGATTTTGTTTTGGAGAGAGATTATGGGGTTGAGTTTTCGAGTTATGATAAGGTTTTGGATGCTCTTTTGAAAGCTGGAAAGACACTTAATGCTTATTCGATTTTGTGTAAAATTAAAGAGAAAGGAGGAGTGACTGATAAAAGTAATGGTGAGGAGTTGATTAGGGTTTTGAAAGAACAAGGGAACACACAACAGGCGGATGTTTTGTCAAGGATGATTATGGGGAAGGAAAAAGGGAAGAAAGTGAAGAAACAAGCATCGGTTTTGTGAGTTTTAAGATGAGTGATGATGAGTCACTTGAATGTTAGTTTTGATTTTTGTTTGTCACATAATAAACTCTAATGGAGTTATTGTAACATGCACCTCACTAGTTTATTTTACAAACTCTAATGGAGTTATTGGAACTCTTTCATAGAATATTGTATTTTCATTTGATTCTTGTTAGTTTATGAAGATGGTTGGATTGCTTTTATGCAACATGTTTTGAATTTTGAGAGCATCGAGTTGATGGGAAATTGGTAATGAAGGCATATTTGTGTGTTTCTTGTATCATAAGTTATTGAGATTTATCATTTATCTTTGGCTTTAAATTTTCAAATGATGAAAAATGAAAGGGTTGGAAGCTGTTTGATAGTTGTTGATTGAGTTGTATCTGAATGAGTCACATCCAACTTCTTACCTGACCTTGGTAAGAGGCATATCCGAGGGCTATATGACTAAATCAGAGGTTTTTAATTATAGTATCAAACGATCTAATTATAGTATCGAATGAATTAGACTGAGTCAGATCCCTGCATCCAACCTCTTACTACCTAGCGACTTACTAGACCAGCTTACTACACCCGGTAAGATGCTATATGACCAAATTAGAGGCTTCTAATTGTGGTATCAAACGGTCTGAATCTGACTGAGTCAGATCGAGCCCCTTACTACCCAACTTTTTTTACCAGACCTGGTAAGAAGCATATTAGAGGCTATATGACCAAATTAGAGGCTTTTAATTGTGGTATCAAATGGTATTGACTGAGTAGTCATCTACTACCTAGCTTCTTACCAGACCTGGCAAGAGGCATATTAAAGGCTATATGACCAAATCAAAAACTTTTAATTATTGTATTAAACAGTTTGAATCGAACCTCTTACTAGACACAGTAAGAAGCATATCAAAAAGCCATTTAGTTGTAGTTTCACTTCTTGTTTTTAGTTTCACTTTTTCTAGGTATTTATTCAAGTGTTAACAGAAGCCAAATTAATGGCACATACTTGAAGCAAGTTTTTGTTAAAATGAGTTGTACAGTACAAACAAATGATGCATTGAGGATGTATGTGTCTTTATCCTAGTGTACTATTTGGCCAATTGATCAACACATTTGTGTGACAGCCTCTCATTTTTTGGCTTATCTAATGTCTGATTCTGTGCATATTCAAATTGGATTAAGTCAGTTTGGCCCATTGGGCCAATGTCTTAAGGTATATATATTGTTCTTTTGGTGTTGGAAACAGTCAATTTGGTCTTGGATATCTTGTAGTTAAGGAGAAGGGTATTTTGGGTATTTTGTACATGGGAAGTTGTATATGTGAAGGGGCATATAGGGAAGAAGTTATCAAGGGTTTTGAGAAATCTGTATCTCTATCAGCCATCGTGGCTTTTAATTATTTTTTGACAGTTGTGGCCACCTTTTTGTCTCTTCATGGAGTGATTTAAAACATGGGATGTGGCTTTTACACAGCCCAACATTTGCTTCCAAGATTTTTTGTGAAAGAAAATGTTTAATCTAATTTATTTTATTTTCTATTAGTAATATCTTCTGAGATGAAAAGGTTCACATGCTAAAATATCCAAATCATGATTCAACATTTTTATTCGAAGTATTTGAATTCAATTGTGAAGAACCATTTAATAAGTTTTTTTTTATAAAAAATTTTAGCAAAGTACAAATTTTTTGAGATTTTTTTTTTTTGCATAGTTTTAATTTTTCGGTGCGCTACCTCTAAAATCCAATGTGTTACCCTGACATTTTGTTCTGGATCCGTCACTGTATTAAATGTAACATATGTGCAAATATCAAAGTATAAAAAAAAAAACTTTTTTATAACATATAAAAGCAATTCCATCTTAGAAATAAATATTTGGTATATGAAAACCTGATTTACAAACATATAAAAGAATCAAGAGAAATTAAATATCCTTCTACATTTTCTCATCAAGATTCAAAAGGCAATTTATCCATTGTTGTGAATATAGTTTCTTATAGATATTTTTTTGAGGATTCTATACAAATGCTTTAATGGTGTATAAAAATGATCATTTAATTTGATATATATATATATATATATATATATATATATATATATATATATATATATAAACAGAAGATAGTTCATTGGTCAAGTCTACAATGACACAGAGATGTTTCATTATTTGGTAGAGATCTTGAATTGTATATCTTAATATAGGCATAAAGGTGATTGTTGGAAAAATTCATGAATAAACTTTTTAAATGGAAAGTTAAAATGATCTATATTGGAGTTGATAGGACTAGTTAAAAAGTTGTGTTTGGGTAGTTTAGGTATTTTTATGTTTATTTTCAAAATGTCTCGTAAAGTCTTGTCCCAATTGAAGAGTATGAGGTCTCCGTTCTCATAGGGAGCAAAAGATGGTCGGTATAAAATCCTATCGATCAAGCGGAGGACAATGTTGGCTGATAAAGATAACGGTGGAATTGGATTAAAATTATGTTTGGTTTTAATCTTGACCTTTACGCTTAAAAAAGATGGTAGGTTGTTAATGAATATAGTTCTTTGTGGGTAAATGTTATTCGTTTTGTTCATGGTGATGGAGGTGCATTTCGGTTGGATAGTGTTGGGACTAATTCGAAAAGGGGGTGAGATTAGTGCAAAATAGTTGACTCTATAAATCAATTGCATGGAAAAGACATTTTGCTCTGTAAAGTCTTTGAGAAAAAAGGTTGGTAATTGTTCCTTGACCCAATTTTGGAAAGATTTTTGGATTCGAGATAACTCGTTGATGATACGTGTAACACCCTTAAAAATACAGCACGAAAATTGAATTTTTAAGTTTAACAATCAAAAAACAAACCATTTCATTCTTCCCAAAACCATGAAAACATAAAATAGTTTAGTTGTGCAATCCATGATACATATAAAATCATCATCAGAGTCAAAATCCCAAAATCACTAATACGGGAAATCATGGTGTGATGCGATACGATCAAGCCGGCCCTTTCCCCTTCGAGCTAGAGGTATCTGAAACCAAAAATGAAAACCGTAACCAAGAAGCTTAGTGAGTTTCCCCCACCATACCACATACAAATCATAAACATACTGTCAGGCATATCTAGGTGCCCGACCAACCCTGCTGAGCATACCTGGGTGCTCAACCTACCCATGTCAGACATACCGGGGTGTCCGGCCTACCCCTGTCAGGCATACCTGGGTGCCCGACCTACCCATCAGTTTTATTCCAACGAATTATGGGGTCTATTTCACCCCTTACCACTACCACATAAATCATGTATATCACACATAAGCATCAAACAATACATACCACCTTAATAATTATCACAAAGACAATTACTAAGTCATATCAATACTAGTGGGCCGGCATTGGTGCCTTTGACCCACGGTTTCTACGAAGGGAGACTCACCTCACTGTGTATGCCGAAATCGTACTCCTCGGCTGGCTCGTAACTACTCTCCCTAAAGCATAATAAATTCCCTAATCAGTCATTGGGTCCAAATAGAACTCCCTTAAAGCCCAAACTTCTAATTCATTTCCCAAGGCAAGGTTTCCCAATCCTTGGCCTATTAGGCCTCTTTCTCCCAAGGCCCAACTCCTAACTAAATTAAGGCCCAAGTCATTACTTTAAGCTTTAAAGCCCAGTAAGGCCCAAGAAGGCCCAATACCATAAATCTCAGTCCTAGGCCCAGAGGCCTTACTCCACAGTAGGCCATGAGGCCCAACAAATCCAAGCCCAATCTTATAAGGCCCAAAAGTCCATGTTAACCACTCTATATGCGTACGCGCGGCGTACCTGGCACGTACGCCCGGCATACGCTGGCCTTGACCAGAAGCGGGAAATTCACCCAGTACGCGCAGCGTACTGGTCAGTTTCCTTAGAACTCCTTTTGTGACTTAATCCATTAAGTCATTACGTCCAAAACATAGATCCAGGTCCTTTAAGACGTCCTAAGCTATAAAGTTACAAACTTTATGTCTTTGCATGCATGGATGGGGGTTAAGACATGATTTAAGTCCTTAAACACTCTTTGTGACCTTCTAACACTTGCATGGTTGTGGCTTAACCATCAAGACCCGATTTTTATGACTCTAAATGCCTCCAAGAGCTCAAAAGGACAACTCATATGGGCTGAAACTACCAGGACACAAGAAACCTCAACTATGGAGTCAAAATATCACATAAAACACCCCAAAGCTACAACTAAGCATGCAATGGTCAAGTTTGAAGCTTGATACCTCAAATGAGTCAGAAATGATGCCAAACTCCTGGATCTACAAGCCCTTTCCAAGCTCTTGCTCCTTCTTCAGACTCCTTCTTCTTCAAAACCACCAAAAACTCAAGGTAAGCTCCAAAATACAAATAAGAGAGTTAGAGTTCGAGTTGCGCACTGAGAGGACAAGGGAGGCTGATAGGATAAGGGTTTTAGAGGTTATAAGTTGTTTAAATAGGGTGCAAACCCTAAAATTTAGGGTTTGCATCTGGCCACCCTACACCCAGCGTACGCATATAGGGCTCCCCCCCCCCACGCTTCGCGCCTCCATCATGTACACCCAGCGTACTACCTTTCACAAGTTTCCATAATTAAATACTTAAATAAATCAAGGGAAATAGCTGATGACCCGGATGTTACAAATCTCCCCCGCTTGAATTAGACTTCGTCCTCGAAGTCTGCTGCTGCTGTTGGGAATAACTCGGGGGTAATGCTTCCTCATCTCGTCCTCTGGCTCCCACGTCCATTCCGAGCCCTTACGATGTCGCAACTGCACCTTCACCAGTTCTACTTCATTATTTCTCATAGCCTTCGTCTTTCGATCGAGAATGGCTATATGCCTCTCGATGTAGTTCAGGCGGTCATCCACTTGTATATCCTCCAAAAGGAACCACTGCAGAATCATTGGCTATGCACTTCCGCATCATCGAGATGATGAAAAGTGTTATCGATTTGTCTAAGCTCCTCCGGAAGGTCCAACCGATATGCTACCTTTCCCACCCCGGGCTACCACCATG